AAAAAAAAGAGTGATTTCTTTTTAAATCATGAAAAAACAACTTAAAACACTGCGTCGTATAATAACGGGTTATTTTATCTTCGACACAAAAAAAATAAGATAATGTACTGGAAAATAATAGTTCAAAGTGCTCCTGAAAACATAAAGATATTCGAGCACGTGTCTGTTTTCTTGTTTGCACAATAAGGCTCAGTGTAGCCTTCAACGTTAATTTTGTATTCTTTTTCGCCAATTATAACAATTTTGGGGCAACAAACAAATTATCTGTTGTAAAAGTTATCTTTTACCTAGATAATGCAATCGTGACTGACGTCATAGAGTGCACGAGCTTTGATGTTGACAAATTATCGATAAGTGTTGTTTCCTATTTACGTGCAACATTTTAAGCAACTGTTTGTGTCTCAAGGACAAGAAACACAAATTTGATAAGATATACGTCCAATTTATAAATGTTATAAAAAAAAGAAATGTCTGCACGAAAAGTAAGATTTAATACAAACGAAGTCTACTTGACTTCTTATCATTTTCTACCTGTTATTTCTCATATTTTTACAGATATGATCATTTATTAGTTGTGATAATATAATAAAGGCATTACACTTGGTAATATAGAACTAATCTGAACTAAAACTGACACTTTAGTTACCAAGGTCGGCTAAAAGAAACAATGTTATATTTTTTCGTGTTATTAAATAAAGGCTGTTAACCCAAGCTGCTCCCTTATTAACAAGTACAATGTATCATCAAAGAGAGTTAATTTAGCCTTTCTAGTTAACGTACAGGTTCTTTGTAGTTCCTAAAAGTCGTAGTCATAATCATTTCTCATTCAAGGTTTCGGGTGTTTATAAATGTATATATTAGTTTCTAGTGCACACGTACGTAATACATATATTATTCATGTTTTAGTTACCAGCAACTAGTGTTTTTGAGTTTTTTACTCTGCAGGGTGAAGATTATATCAGTTTCAAGTCACGTGGTGTGTAACGTTTAATCATGATAGATGTTAGCGTAATAGATGAGATAATACACCACAATGATGGTACTTCCAAGTAGAAGGAGTGTATCATGGTACTTCCCAATAGAAGGAGTGTATCCACTCCTTCTATGGGGAAGTACCACGATACTCTTCTATTGGGAAGTACCACACTCTTCTATGGGAAGTACCACGATAGATACACTCCTTCTATTGGGAAGTACCACGATATGGTACTTCCCAATAGAAGGAGTGTATCATGGTACTTCCCCATAGAAGAGTATCACGGTACTTCCAGTAGAAGAGTATAATGGTACTTCCCAATAAGTGTATAATGATTCATATTGTGTTACTTAGTGTTAATCCTTGGTCTTTAGTCGGTACAAAAATTACTAATTCGTACACTAAAGTTAGTTAATTTCACTTGTCATAAGACTTTAGTATCAGGCCTACTGTGATATTTTACACTACATTCTATATTTAGCCCATTAAGGGTTTGCAAGAATTAGAAGTGTGTATAATAACAGAATTCCAACCACATTATGTTCGCCATATCTAATACCAACGATGTGTTTCGCTCAATCCTGGGCTCATCAAGCCGGCTTAGACACAACAAACACAGTAGTAATCGAAATACTGGTTAAATGTAACACTGTCCTATAATATGGTGTTTAAGTTAGAACAATACATTGTCCTACAATATTACACCTAAAACAATACAGTGTCCTACAATAATACACCTAAAACAATACACTGTCCTACAATAATACACCTAAAACAATACACTGTCCTACAATAATACACCTAAAACAATACACTGTCCTACAATAATACACCTAAAACAATACAATGTCCTACAATAATACACCTAAAACAATACATTGTCCTACAATAATACACCTAAAACAATACACTGTCCTACAATAATACACCTAAAACAATACACTGTCCTACAATAATCACCTAAAACAATACAGTGTCCTACAATAATACACCTAAAACAATACCGTCCTACAATAATGCACCTAAAACAATAGTGTCCTACAATAATACACCTAAAACAATACACTGTCCTACAATAATACACCTAAAACAATACATTGTCCTACAATAATACACCTAAAACAATACAGTGTCCTACAATAATACACCTAAAACAATACAATGTCCTACAATAATACACTTAATCTTCAAACGTTTGTATATTCATAATAACATATCAGAAACAATATAATATAATATTAGTTATTTTTACCATAATAAATACAAGTATTGGTTGACAAAAATCACCCAAACTTCTGTTTTCTTGTACTTTTCCGAGATTCAAAATAAAATGTTTTATTCAGTATATAAATATTATATTAATATTTACGAATTTCACTGCTAACCATTTTTTATGTTCTTTGGAAATATTTAATAGCAGATATATGTATGATTTCAATGCTTTAAATATAACATTTACGGCGTTTTGTTGGCGAGGTACTTTATTTTCAGATCTTTAAAATACATACTAAACTAAACATCAAAAATATCAATACAACTTCTATAACCACTCTATTCTACTTAGGGATTTTTAAACAAAACAAAATTTTCAAACTTTAATGTAGAATAAAACAAGTTATAGAAAGAAAAAAACGGTGAAAATCGCCTGCGCACCCTCTCCCTGTCAAAAGATGTTTATTAAAAGCTCGCAACGAGTTTTAAAGTCGCTTCTCTTATCACAGTGTTTATGTAAGACTTCTGTTTGATCGGTTAACTTAAATCCCTCTCTTGCTAAATATTCGAGTTTAAATTACACGCCAATTAAATATCAGCAAACTACACAAGTAATTAAACATCATTCATCAGCCAGCTGATGAAAGGAATTTCTTATAAAAAATATGTTTACATTTTTACACTGATGCTTTAGACTAAATAGTTTCGTTTTTTTAACCTCCATCTTATACTGAATGCTTTCTTGGAATCCAGACTTCGTCTTCGCTGGTGTAAGAGCTTTGTGATGATGTCGACATACGTGAGGAGTGGGTGGACGACCGGTAATTCTTCCAATCAAATTCCCGATTGAGAAGAACTGGCGAATTCGGAGACGGCTGGTGGATAGTACCGTCAACAACACATTCCGAGACAGTATCCGAAAGTAATCTGACGTCAGAAAAAGCCTCGTGAATCTCGAGGAACTTCTGGTGTGATCTACGCATGCGTAAACTACCATATATCGGAAGAGAGATCCGTCTTGAGGAGCTGACCTCCCCAATCTTCCGATCGCTTGAAAGAGGTATCAGTCTGGTTGAAGTGTTCACTGCTAAAGAATTATCATCGGAACTTAAATCCAGACCCTCAACACTCAGTTCCAAGTCACTGTTGTTCAGTACACGCGACGTATTTCGACTAGTTATGGGCAAAAAAGGTTTTCTCCTTCTGAAAAGCTTTTCCGGCGTTGATGTCATAATGGGACAGCTTTTCCGAAAATTCTGATTTCTTATGAAACCTGAACTTTCATCCAACTGCTTGCTAAGCTTGCCTTCTTTTATGTTGAACTTCAACCGCTCCATCCCTGGCAGTCGGGGATTCCTCATCTCCGCCAGGATTCTTCTTGAACTCTCAACTCTTATACTTTCAAAATATCCTGAAATTAAAAGAAATTATTTAAATAATTGAGAAGAAACTAAGAATATCGTTCTTGGAAATAAGGACAAAATTGTTTGTTGTTGAGTATGAAAGCGCAAATGTTTACTTTTTTTTCAATGGAAACTTAGTTTCTTTCATCGCCGAAAGGGAGTTTATAACCGTAAATCCAGTTTTTTCTAGCTTCATTTATCCTGATATGTACTTCATGTACGGATTGGGGGGGGGGGGGCAACAGGTAGCGCCCCATGAGTGAATACATGCCGAACATCACAAGTGATCTAGGTGGTGTTATTTAACCATCAGATATCGACACGTGTGGACTGTCATGTTTTATCACAGGTAGTCCATCTGTTAGAGTTCGACAGGTGTGGACCGTCATGTTTTATCACAGGTAGTCCATCTGTTAGAGTTCGACAGGTGTGGACCGTCATGTTTTATCACAGGTAGTCTATCTGTTAGAGTTCGACGGGTGTGGACCGTCATGTTTTATCACAGGTAGTCCATCTGTTAGAGTTCGACAGGTGTGGACCGTCATGTTTTATCACAGGTAGTCCGTCTGTTAGAGTTCGACAGGTGTGAACCGTCATGTTTTATCATAGGTAGTCCATTATTTCGCAAATTCGTCTGAATGAACTCTTAGCAAATTCTAACATAAACTTGTTCAAAATTCTTGAGGTTTAGCCATAAATTCAAGACTAATTTTGCCATACAGAGGCAATTGCTCAGAACATTCCAAAATGATTTAAACTTTTGTTTATTTTATTGCAAAGCGCAAAGTTACACAATGGACTATTTGTGCTGTGCCCGCTACGGGTATCGAAACCCGGTTTTTAGAGTTAAAAGCCTTCAGACTTACCGTTGAACCAATAGGAGGCAATAACTTGTTTGTTTGTTTGTAATTAAGCACAAAGCTACACAATGGGCTATCTGTGCTCTGCCCACCACGGGTATCGAAACCAGGATACTATCGTTGTAAGTCCGCTGTGCCACTGGGGGAGGGGCAATAACTTAAACGATGCTCTAGTCTAAAAGATTCTTGTTTGCACTGGTGACGAAGAGTTTTTAGTACACTTACAATCAAGAAACTGTAATACACTAGTGATAAAAAAAACAGCACACTAATGTTCAAGAAATTATAGTACATTAATGGTAGAAAAAATCTTTATAACAAGAGAACAATTTAGCACAAAATTAGTTAATTATACTCGAAATGTTACAAAGTAAATAAAGCTGTATTACCGATTTTCCTCAACTCAATGCACGCAATAGACTCGATCTGCATACTTTATTTAAACATGAACTTAGACTTACCCGTACAATCGATGACAGGTTAGCCCTGATTGTCTTGCATTCGTAACGAATAGGACTATTAAACTTTATCGGCATGAATTTGGTCAGGTGACACAAGATTAGAACTGACGCATTTAGCTCATGATTTAGTTCTTCTGTTTTCACCGTACAGTGGTTTTATTTACGAACAGATAGAATTTTGGTAAAATATTCGCCGTTTTCTGAAGCAGATATTTGTTAGATCTAACGTGATTTCATGCGCTAACCTCAATCTTTAATTTCTTGTAATTTACTTTGAAATTTCGATTATTTACAACTTAAAAAATATACTTACCTAAAGAGAAAAATATCTGTAATTAGTGCACCATATAAAAACTTACACTATACAATGAAAAGTCCAAGTAAAAAACAATTATTTCTATCCTGCAATCCTGGGCCTAAACTAAAGTTTCCTTTAACAATTACTTCCAGTCCAACATTTCTATTTTTTCACGGCTTTAGTATACCAGTTTTGTTTACCTTGTTCACCAGTTCAATCGATGGTTGTAGACCAGTTCAAATTCCACACTGGAATAGACCTATACCATATCTAAAACGAATTATAATTCTACCTCATAAGTTATTAAAAACGTTAGTTCTATGTGTACAATAACTCGTGAACAGTATCCATTTGTCACAGTTCTGGCGAAGGCTAATCTCATGTAACGCCCGGAAAACAAATCTAGTTCCAACCAGAATCTAGGCCTAAAAGGCATTAAAGTGTGACTGTTGAATTTTTTATCTGTTCTATTGCTTTCCTAGCGAAAACGTATTTCAGTCTGGACAAAGTATGTATATAAACAATCAAATTGCGTGATTAATATTATTAAGTCACTGAATATGGTCAGTTTTTATTGAAAGTCGATTAACCACGCCACGAAAGTCACTGCGGCACTTAGTAATTTTATAAGCACATAAACTAGTTCAATCTTGAAAAACAAACAAACAAAAGAAGAAAAAAACATGCATATTAGTTTTAACCTAACCACGAAAAACAACTGATACAAGACTAGTAGTGAACTTAGATAAAAAAAATAAAAAGTCATTTACAGAAATCACATTCGAATATTGTTAAAAGCGTATGATACAAGACTAGTAGTGAACTTAGAAAAAAAATAAAAGTCATTTACAGAACTCACATTCGAATATTGTTAAAAGCGTATGATACAAGACTAGTAATGAACTTAGATAAAAAGTAAAAAGTCATTTACAGAAATCACATTCGAATATTGTTAAAAGCGTATGATACAAGACTAGTAGTGAACTTAGATTAAAAAAAAATAAAAAGTCATTTACAGAACTCACATTCGAATATTGTTAAAACAACTGATACAAAACTAGTAATGAACTTAGATAAAAAAAAATAAAAACCTCACTTACAGAAGTCACAATCAAATGTCACTGAAACGACTGATACAAAATTAATAGTGTATAGAGATCAAAAAATAAAGATTCGTTTGTTTGTGTTGAAACACAAAGCTGCACAAAGGGCTATCTGTGCCACTACGGGTATCGAAACCCGGTTTCTAGCGTTATTAGTCCACAGACTTACCGCTGTGCTAGTGAGGGGCAAGTAAATGTTCATTAATAACGGTCACGTAACAATAGATTTTTTCTGGATCAATTTGAAATTTCAATCTTAATTGTATGACAAAATAATCAAAATTTAATTTGTCGAATAATTTCCTAAAGATGAAAATACATAACCAACTGTTTTAATAAACGAACTGAAAATAATAAGGATTAAACTATCATATTTCAAACATTAAATATTTTGTAATTTGTCTCATTGTAGTTTATTAAGCTAACTTTCGATTCAGATGTAATCTAGAAATTTATTCCGAGTCAGCTTGCAATAAAATTAATTTTAAAAAGTTCACAATAAAATTAAAATATAAGATCATAACTTAAAAGATAGTTAACACTAAAATATAATATTGTAATTTAAAATATAGAATAAAAGTAAAATATAAGATCATAACTTAAAAGATAGTTAACACTAAAATATAATATTGTAATTTAAAATATAGAATAAAAGTAAAATATAAGATCATAACTTAAAAGATAGTTAACACTAAAATATAATATTGTAATTTAAAATATAGAATAAAAGTAAAATATAAGATC